AGAAGGAAGAAAATAAGAACCCACTTGGATCAGAACAAAGGCCTATCTAGCCCAGTATTTTATTCTCAGAGTGGCCAACAAAATGCCTGTTGGAAAACCACAACCATTTCCCAGATAAAGTCCCCTAACATCCGAGGCATTCCTTCTCCGATTTTCAGGTACTATTCAATTATTAAAAACCACACTTAAGACTCCTTTGTGTTGACACCAGCTCCACAAGGACACCTTGAAATCTAAGGCTGGTACCTGAAGTGACATATCTCAGGCATGATGTTGTGCAATGTCACAAACTGTCTTATAACTTACCCTCCGTGCATCGACACTTTGCCTTGATTTATCAGACGATGAGGCCAGAGTATCTGGAATCACCAATGACACTCCAATTTGCCCTTGTTCTTTACTGCTTTATGAAGCACCAAAGCCTTATTGTGCTGCTAGAGGAACTCTCCTGTGAGTTGATCCGTGCCTGTTTGTTGTTTGCAACAATGGATTTCAGAATCATTGTTGAAAATGTTAACATTAGGGCAAACATTATCCTGCAATTAATCATTTTCAAATTCTAATTCTAACCACCCTAAACAATCAGATATTTTCAGTTTAACATGGCCATATGATCTGGTCAAAACAGCACGGTATCGCCTTTCCCTTTATCTGTTTTCTGCGTGGGTTATTCTCCCTCCATGAAATTGCCCATGTGAGTAAAGAACCTTTTGTGTAAATAGAAATATTGCAGAATACAGATGTGGCAGGAAGAGCTCTAAAAGGTCCACAGAGAGATGCCAACTCCCAATCCAACATTCACCACTATCCAACACAGCCTTCTATTACAGTATCAGCCTTAGCTGGCTTTGTCTCTAGATTGCGTGAAGATGCTCTAATTCAGATAAAAGAAATAACCTGAAATCAGACCTGCAGAGTGCCAGTTCAGGTCTACGGATAAAAGACTGCATGCAATCTTTCAAAGACGCATCAACTGAAAATCACTGACTCTGTATCATCCTCAAAAAAAAAAACACCTGATCCACTCACACTTTTTTGCTAGTCAAAATATCCAAAGGAATCCGTGTGGTCCTTACACAATCCAAATATAGAAAAATTTAATAGAGCATTAAAAGTCTAACTATTAATACAAGCTTTTGTGGATTAAAAATCCACTTCTTCAGGCACATGGCAGTAACTTGTGAATAGTGCAGAAAAGTTATAAATGAATGTCTCAAAATGCATGGCAAAATTTGCTAGGCATATCCTCTTAAAGTGAGTTTAAAGCTGGTTACTGGACGGCTGTGGAAATGTGGTTTAATACTTCACCCCATACAATGTGGTTGGAAATTTCCATTCAGTTACGTAGGCTTTGACAATAAGGCTTGCTGGTAAGCAAGCAAGCAGGAAAATTGTATTGCTCCATCACCATTCCCTCACTTCCTTCTCAAAAGGTCAAACTATAGATTACCACACATCATTCGAAGAAGGAATTCCTTAACAGCTGAAAGACGTCCAACTGCCATAGCTCTGACTTTCCATGCCTCGTGTAGTTTGCAAATTAGCATTCTGAATTTTGCAGTTAAATCACCAAGGGGCAAACAAATTTTAACTGCTCAGACATAGAAGTTTACTGGAATCATGTCTTCAGAATATTAAAGTAATTTCAGTTTATAATTATAGGCTACCTATAATGTATACTTCCACCTGAGGCAGCTCTAATAGATTCCCAAACACATATAAAGGAGAAGTGCTTCTCACAGGATCACAATAAAATTGAACAAACAGCTGTTAATGTAAAATAGCAACCACTAGATGTCACCACTACTATACAGCACTAGGACATAAACTGGTTCTAATCTGATATTTGCAAGAAAGGATTTGTAGTAACTTTCCTCACATTTTAAAGAAAAGATTTAACAACTTGCAAAGTTTACATACCTTTCTCCAAAAGAGAGGTAGCAAATTAACAGAGGTTAGGACTATCAATAGTTATTTGAGTCACAAGTGAAAAGTTACAAGTATCACATTGGTACTTTAACTTTGTTCTTACTGTTGTTTTTGCAGTGGCGCAAATATCAGGATGTGTGTCTATGGCATTTGTAACTGGGAAAAGTGAACAAGAAAGAAAGGACTCCAACTCTTTGTACCAGGCCCTAATTTAATTGGCATGACAATCCAACAGCTATTCACATTTACAAGATACACACAGTGTTTTAATACAGAATTTCCAACATCATATGCCATTGAACCTCAAGCCAGTTATTAGACATTTATAGAAAATAAGCAACACAAATGACCCAATACACTCAGTGCAATGTTTCTGGAAGTGTTTATCCGCATGCAATTTATGCCTCAATACGAGTAGAAAGGATTTAAAAATGGCTGAGATAAAGTAGCCCACTTCTGGTCAAAAACAGTTTAAGCATTTTAACACTTTGTTTTAATGTTTGTATATATTTCATATACGTCCATAATTTTAAATTATGCAATGCTCTGATACAAATAAAGATTTAGTTGGCATGTTGCTTAATCCCTCCCCAAAATACTGAACTGTGACAAAATAAAAAGAACAGTAAAAATCATGATTTCATGTTCTGGACATAACATAAAAACAATGCAACTGCTTGTGCCTTTATTCCTCTCTTTCCCCAAATACTTACCTTAGTAAAAAGCAGAACAGAGGGAAACTAACAAAACACAGCTAGAGAAATCATGCAGGAAAGATAGTTCTCAGTAACGTGTGTCTAGCATTTAGCTGATGGTGTCAAGGTAAGATGTTAAACAAAGACTATAAACAAGAACTATAAACGCGAGAGCGAGTGAAATGGTAAAAAGTGCTTCTGTTCAGCATCTTCTGTAATATGAGCTTGTTTTGCATAGTCAAATCTGTTTAAGTGGCTGTTCCACTCAACTGATCAAAAAGGGCCTTTCCTGTGGTGGCGCCTTGTCTCTCTAATGCTTTTTCTTCTTGGAGATTCATCTGGCACTCAAGCAGTCTTCTCAGGCCTTTCTATCTGTCCGCATTAACTGTCTTTTGGGGACTGCAACATTCTTGAAGTCAAACAGTAATTTATTCGTCTTTACTTTTTATTTATAAAACATCAAAAGGTTTGTTGTGGATCCCCTGCACTGTGTAGCCATTTTTTTAAAAAAAAGTTCAAAATAAATATATAACACAGTTACACGTGGCATGATAATGGCCAGCAGTAACATTCATTCCCAAAGGATTACATTTCACATTATAATCAGTCATTTAACCAAACCTGTACATTGAATCTCTTTTGATTTTCAGCATTCAAGTTTGTTTCATAAAAACTGAATTAATTGGTCTTTTCAGCTACATTGCACTAGTAAATATTTATTTGGAGACCTTTACAAAAAATTTTTAAAGCAGAAGTAAAATGAAGTGTCATGGACAGAGTGAGCGAGTGGGACCTATCCTTGCTTGGCAAGAAAGCTCACTGGGAGCATTTGTGGCAATGATAAATCTTTAAATATCTCACGTACTTTGAAAACTCTATTAGGGTCAGCAAACATTGGGTGCAACTTGATGCCACATGACAAGCAAACAAAGGCAAGAAAATACACCTTTGGAAAAAAATTGTAGCCAAACAGTACTAAAAACAGATGTGAGCAGAGGCAATATGGCAGTCAAGAAGATGGATACTGTTCCCAGGTTCAAACAAAAGGCACCTCCCATGCCTCAGTCAATGCCACAGCAATCTGTCCTATAGCCCTAACATACACTGTGCAGTTTGGAGGACCTAAGTTATAAGGAATAGGATAAAGCAGAAGGAAAAACAATGAAAGCAAATGTACAAGGCCAGACTTCAGTCTGATTAATTATTTTTAATCTCTCCTGTTTTCTTCACAATGAAGCATCTTTTAAAATAAAACAAGAAAATCATTTACAAAAGCACGAGAAGTGTAAAAGCATTGTTTTTAAACTCAGAATAAGTTTAAATAGTCAACTCAAGTGCTCAGCACAGGATCTACCTGAGTTGCTTCCAAGTGCCCAAGTAAATTGCCTTCATATGGAAAATGCTATAATGGGATGATCACAGCAAAAAATCCTGTAGATTGGGGGGGGGGAGGGCAGGAGTTAAAACCACCCACTCATGGTTGAGCAAAAGATAAAGTTTTGGCAAAATAAGCAATTCTCCTCCAAGTCAATGAAGCATCCATTTTTTTCTCAATTCAACCAAAATAAACCTAATTTTAGCATCTACAAAAGGAGCCGCTTTCACAATTTTCCATGATTCTCCTGTTTTCTAATGTTAGTTTTTAAAGCTTGCTCTTTTCCATTGTTCTGGTTTTAAATGGTTCTCAAACATTTTACTAAAGAAGCCCCATCTATGGACTTTCACCTTTGCTAAAGCAGCACTATCTGGGTATGCCTGCTATTGCAGTTTGTTGGCTATGAGTCACAAATTCAGCTCCTTCTGGCATACTAAGAGGGCACTTTCATAAAAGTCATCAATCCACCATTTAAAAAATAGATGTACAAGCTCTCTCTCTCTGTCTGTGTGTGTGTGTCAATCCACTATTTAAAAAATAGATGTACAAGCTGTGTGTGTGTGTGAGAGAGAGAGAGAGCGAGAGCGAGAGCGAGAGAGAAATAATGTTTTCCCTTCATTCCAAAGCACTGGTTCATTAACTTTAGAGTGCAAACATATATGCAAAATTTAAATAAATTAGAAACATTTACATTAAAATATTCTTTAGTTTACATTTAAAAATATTTTATTTAAAAAATAGATGTACAAGCTGTGTGTGTGTGTGAGAGAGAGAGAGAGCGAGAGCGAGAGCGAGAGAGAAATAATGTTTTCCCTTCATTCCAAAGCACTGGTTCATTAACTTTAGAGTGCAAACATATATGCAAAATTTAAATAAATTAGAAACATTTACATTAAAATATTCTTTAGTTTACATTTAAAAATATTTGCCTTTCAAGGATGTAAACGTTGTTTACTAACAGGTAATTAAGTCAAGTTTTGTTTCTCTTTTCAAAAGGTTTTAAAACGAAGCCACTGCACTGATGCCTCTTTCGTACCGTTTGTTTCTGGTACTCCAGAGGGAAGGATCAGAAATTCCTTTTTAAGGTATCATTTTTGTTTCCTGTTTCTTTCAGAGTCGTGTGTGTCATGAAATGAAAGCTGTTGACTTTTGGTGCGTTTCTGAGATCTGTTTGGCAGGATGAGTAGCACAAAGACACACAAGATGTGCATGTGGAAATACAATGACCTGCAAGTGATAAAGAAAGAAAGCATAAAAACAAATAGAAGTCAGCTTACAATCTGTAATGATCAAAAGTAGCTGCATAATTATGCCAGTATTTTAAAAGCCTTCCAACTACAGTGGTGCCTCGCTTTACGATTGCCCCGCATTACGACGAATCTACTTAATGCAAAACGATGGTCTAAATGGGGGAATTTTGCTTTGCAATGATCGGTTCCCTGCTTCAGTTCCCTGCTTCTTCACAAAACGACGTTTTTCTAACAGCTGGTCGGCAGTTTCAAAATGGCCGCTGGCTAATTAAAATGGCTCCCCGCTGTGTTTAGGGATGGATTCCTCGCTATACATGCAGTGAAAATGGCCGCCATATGGAGGATCTTCGCTGGACGGTGAGTTTTTACCCCACTGGAATGCATTGAACGGGTTTCAATGCGTTTCAGTTGGGTTTTTTATTTCGCATTACGATGTTTTTGCTTAATGGCGATTCTCCTGGAATGGATTATTGTTGTTAAGTGAGGCACCACTGTATTAAAATATTCTCAAGGCCATTTTGCCTCTTATAGGCAACATTCTAGAAAGTGTCCAGAACCATCTAAGTCTCTTTCACTGGGTCACTGTGCACTGCAGCTCCATCTGAACATCAGAAACAGAGATGCCAGTCAGCCAACCAATCAATCAGGAAGACCAAAACAAAAATAAAAAACAGCCAGGCCCTCCACAAACACTCCTCATCCATCAACCAGACTCAAGTGGTCTGGAGATTCTAGTTGTTATGTTAAGGAAAGAAACTAGGGGAGCAGGAAGCCAGTTTAAAAAGTTACATGACTTAATTACATACGTTAGATACAAAACTGGAGCCTTAAGAGAAATGCCTGTACACATTGTTTCCACAAACATTATTTCATACAGGAGTGGCTTGGGATTCAATCTGAAGGTGCCTGAAGCGTTAGGGGAGGCGCCTTACTAGGATCACAAATAGCTCGTACTTTAATACACTTTAATTGCGGACAATCTCTCTAACATCATGAGCTGTTAGAGTAGACAGTGAACAGTTACAATGGGCAACAAGAGTTCTGAAATGACCTTTTCAGAACTAGATTGGTTACATGGTTCCTTCTGCAGAAAGAGTGGAGCTATCACAAGTAAAAAAGTCAAGATTTAGTAATTTGCACACCAACTACAGGCATCTCATGACTGGGACGTGGGTGTCCCCCCGCCAACTGTGGGGTGAGGCACTGCTGAGATGACCACAAGCCAACTCTGCAGCAAATCTATTCAACTTCCCCTTCAAACCGTAACCACACGTTACCCAAACTTGATCACAGGCTCAGTTCTGAGCTTTTTTGAAATTCCAGGATTAAACATGGCTATATAAATGAAAGATAACGTACTTATATAATTTAATTGTAGGCTCAACAGCCAAGAGAATGAACGGTGCAACAGTATAGCTGACAGCCAGCTGAGTTACCATCCAGGTGGCAATGTCATAGCCCAACTTGAGAGGCTTTTGGGAGAGGAAGAAGTGGCGACAGTTGTTCCTTACCTTTACAAAACAAAAGAACAACATATTTAAAGGTAATCTTCATATAATTTCTTATTATCATCAATTATTCCTGCTCTGTGCACTTGCCTCTTAATTATAACTCTGATATAATGAATGAGAATATCTGTAGCTCTTTTTTTCCCTGTTAAAGTGGAAGAAGCCTCTCAAGGATTTCTAGAACAAAAAAGAACAATGACCGAATAGATTTAAACTGAACGGAACTGAAAAGAGTGACTTGGGCTGCAACCCAATGTAGCCACATTATCTGTCAACAAGTCATAGTGACCAAGATCTTATACTTGCAGGCAGTTATAAGCGAGGGTTGTTCTGAAGAATTTTACACCACAAGGATTCAGGCAGAATATCTCAAAGGGCTTGGCCCCATATAACAGTAGCATGTTCTGTGGAAATGCTATGTCTTGATTAATAAAGTGCTTGTAAAAAAAAAAAAGAGAGGGCGAGAAGGACACCTTAATCATTGAACATGAACTCACAGACTGGACTTCTTTGGAATAAAGAGTCCTGCTTCCAGAGTCACTTTTTATGAAAATGCATGGGTTATGTAATTCCCCCTCAAAAAAGAGTATGTATAGGAACACAACACTGTAATTAATAGTCAGACTGTCAGATGTGTGCTGAAGAAAATATACATTGTGTGTAGTCAGAATGAGCAGTTTTCTGCAACACTTCTAACATTGGCTCAATGTAGTGCCCCTGTTAATCCAAACTCTGCACCAGGAAAACCCAAATTCTACACCAAAATTCCAAGATATGATTGCCAATTATACACAGTTTTCCCAACCGCAACAGCTGCCTTTTCCCCAAATTCAGAAATTTTGGTCAAGAACTAAGATGACAGAGATGAGTCGCAGCTACCGTCCTACATGTTTCCACAGAGAAGAAAGAAAAAGAAGCCACCCGAAGTTTTGCTCTCAAATATTCTGTCAGGGATTTTTTTCCTTGATCCTCAAAGCTTTCAAATGTTTCTGTATATGAATGGGTAGGGACTAAAAAAATTCCAAGAAGGATCATAAGTGAGAAACACAAAGAATCCCGTATGTTGAAGTGTACCTTTTAAAAACTGGCAAGCAACCAAGAAATTGTCTTAGAAAAAAAATCAGCTTCCCCCATCATCCAGGGCTTTCTCATTCACTTCAACAACAAAACGTGTGCCAGGCACATATTGTTCTACATGCTGAGCTGGCAGTGAAAATTAATTGAAATTCAGAGGAAGGTGTCCACAGCATGCACTCCTCAGAAAACACAGGGTTTCAGACAGAAGCAGTTTTGATACAATCAACAGATAACACAGTTTGCTTTGGAAATCAATAGCCTCCATGCTCAACGCCCAGTACCAATGACTTTAATAGGCTCTAAGTTTGATTAATTATATCTGGGATTGAATGAGGACAAAAGTAATGGAAGGAGATACCTACTGCTCTGGCTGCTAGTGTCATAAGGATTCCAGTGATAAAGGTAAAATAATATCCAGGGTAAACACCATGCCAAATAGCTGAGAGAAGAAATGTTAGAGCTGTAGGATACCGAGGAGCTCGTTCATAGCACACACTGGAAAGAAAAAAGAAAAAAACCAGAAAAACAGGATGTGCAAACAATATACAGATTACATGTCAAGTGCATCTGAAGCATGACTCCACTGGGCTACCAGAGGACAGAACTTTCAAAAGCATACTTCTATGAAACTCAGTGGGATCATTTGCTCAAATCAACAGTTTTCAGAATTATTAAGAGTTCAAGATTATTCAGTCAGTATCCCCCATTTTGGGGATGCCATGAGTAAGAAGACTTTGTTCACAGTAATCTCCTCCAATGAATCACCATTGTGCTCCTACATCAGCCGGAACACACTCCATCTTGTCTGATTTGGGGAGCCAAGCAGGGTCAGCCTGATTAATACCCAACTGGCAGACCACCAGGGATTACTAGGGATCTCTACGTAACGCCAGGAAAGAATTCTGCCATAAATACTGGAAAACTGCTGGCAATCCAGAGTCACAATCTTGGACTAGATGGAATAATGGTCTAATTCAATATAAACAAATATGTCCTAGCAACATCCAAATAAAGGCCTCTTATTTCACCAATCATCATCATTGTTACATTACAAGAGTTCCTCTTTTCAATGGCTGTATTTAACTTTTATTCTCATCAGCTGAAAGATTTTGCTTTTAGAGAGAAACACCAAATGACTTCTAAATGTATGGATCTGGATAAACTAGGAAGGATGATCAAAAGGTGTAAAAACAAGTATTTTACCGTCTAAGCCACGCAGTTGTTTGGATATTCCAGTTTTGTACATACATTTTAAAACTTGTTGCCATCTAGGAGAGAAGAAAGTCCCGTGTGTTACTGGCTTGCCTTCATTCTGTAAATACTAGTTTCTGTTTTTCTTGATGTGACTTGAGAGCAAAGTGCTGGAGAGGTTGTAGCATGCCTGCCTTTAGTTTACATATGTGGAAAATAAAAGGTTTTTACTTGAAACCTCGTAACTTTGCATTCCAATTCTTCAAATAATCAAGCAGAGGGCAAGAAAGAGAAATATATTTTAAAAAACCATTATTATTTGGCAATTTTGTATGAATTTACTATGTATGAACGTCTATCAAACTATGTTTTTAATCCATGTTTACGGTTTTATGGTCAGGTTGGTTATATGATTTTAAATTTTTAAGCTAGATGTGGTTTACCTGTTTTCATTGTTTTAAAAAGTCTTTAAGACAACATGAATTCTATTTCTTAGTGGAAATATAGGATATAAATGTAATAGAGAAACATACAATTTTAAAAGAAGACTGAAGCTGTGTACATGTTTCTGCAAGACTTTTTTCTCCATTTCCCTTTCTACTCACCTCAATATTCCTGATATTAAGATTAGACAGTAGGTCCCAGTGGAAATTGCCCCTCTCGACACCACTAAACCCATAGCCAGCAGCATTGCTGATCAAGTCCGCTGTAGTTGTAAAATAAAGTGAGAGAGAAAAAAAACCCTCATCAGAAATCCATTTTACATGCCCAGTGGAATCTTTGATGTCCTGTCCCCTCCTTTGAAGGGACAGCATCACGTCATATAAAAACATGCTTTTGAAATTCACCTTGGTATTGACATAGCAAACCCATGTAGCCTGCTAAGCTGAGAAAAACAGGTCCCAAGCAACTTCCAAGCTGAGTGTGTGGAATGATTATAGGTAAAAACAAAACAGAAATAAAAAGGAAAGAAGACAAAAACGTGGTAGCACCTTAAAGATTAACTTTTATATTTTTTTAATGTGGGCTTTTGTGGAGAAGTCCACTTCATCCGAGATGGAATGGGCGCATCATGTAGTTCCCCTAGACCACCGGTTTTCAACTTTATGTTCTGAGATGTTCTTGCCAGAAATCCTGGCTAGCAGAGCTAGTGGTAAAGGCTTCTGGAAGTCTTAATCTAAGATAGAGATGGGCACAAACTGTCAGTTCAAGTCAGTTAATCTGTTGATCCAACAGGTGTTCTAAGATAGAGATGGACACAAACTGTCCGTTCAAGCCAGTTAATCTGTTGATCCAACAGGTGTTCTGCACTTGCGAGCACCGCCTCCTCCAGCAGGCACCCACTGAGAGGCAGCACTGGCTTCACCTCTGGGTGCTGCCTCTGAGTGGGTGCCTGCTGGAGAAGGTGAGGCTCGCAACTGCAGAACACCTGTTGGACCGACAGGCGAACCAGCACAAACCATTGAACTGGCGGTGCCTGACCACCTCTAATCCAAGAATACTTCGGGATCCAATGCTGGGAACCACTACTCTAGATCCAAGTTGTGGTTTAGTATACAGGTTCAGCGGAACAGAAGCTACAGTTTCACCAAGGACAGAAATAAGTATCAACATACAATTAACAAAACAGTACAGTACTTCTGTAATCCCAAAAAGTAACTTTTCCAAGCTTTTTGCTGTGGGTATGGTTGGGAATCAATTATAGTAGAAACTTTTCAGAACTCCTATAGGCTACTGATCAGAAGGCCCAGCCGCTGTACTAGAATGTGTGTTGGCAGAGCACACTGGAATCCAGCTTCTCACTTTTATATCTAATTACCATTTACCTGTAAAGATAAGGATAAAATAAACTTCCTTTCCCCCCATTCCCAGTAGAAATTACTTAATCCACTTTGAGTTCCTTATGAACATGCTTGCAAATAAGCCTGTTCTCTCCTCTGCATTTTTTAAATCAAATCCTAAAATCTTTCCACAATTAAACTGAATTTTAAAACTTCTCTCTTAAATTAAAAAGAAACAAGAGAGAAATACTTCCAAGGAGACTTTTGTTTAAAAGAGTTGGCCACTTGGAACAAATAGCTAGAGAGAGGCTGGGAATGTCATGAATTTAAAAAAAAAATGTCCAGAAAGCAGCAGTATGCCATTAAACCTCCCTGGATATTTTTTTCTAAAGATGTCCCACATACTGATGCAACAGATATTTTCTTTGCGTACAAGCAATCAGCCCTCCCACACATCACTTCATACAATGAAGGAGGAATAGGGATTCCTGAAGGAACCAGGTTCTAAGGCGCATTCTGAAGCTGTGAACTAGGCAGGCTTATACATGAAAGAAAACTGCCTAAATTCCTACCCAAACCCCACCCGTTTGGGCTGCCTGCTTGCATTATTATGAATAAGTCCTGCAGAAACCTCTCCGTTTACCAGAAGTCTCTCTGGACTCTGCTTGTAGTACGGTTCTTGTCCAGGCTGCCTTAGGGTGATATAATATTAACCTTTGAACTGCAGAGCTGGAAGAGACCCTATGGATCATCGAGTGCAGCCCCTCTCAAGAAGACACTGTAGGGAACTGAACTCTCAACCTCTGGGTCCACCACCAGAGGCCTAAAGCCACTGAGCTCTCCGGCAGTTCTCTGTGATGGGAAGAGTGAGATGGATGCACCTGCCTTTAGTAAGCAAAACAGATTCTGTGGCTGTTGGTTCTTGACAACATGCTTTGGGCACAGGAATATGGCATGCCTGTGTATATAGATGCTGGGAAACATGGGCAGGAAGTTGCTTTCTCAACTACACCCTGATCTGAGACTTCCAATGGGCAACTGGTTGGCACTAAGGAAACCAAACACCAGACTAGGGTACAGCTTTGGTCTGATCCAGCATTTCTCTTGTTTTTATTATATATAATTACATATAAGGAACATATAAAATGTTATGGAGAAAGTAAATCTGTTTGATTCTTCTGTAGATATATCATACACATGAACATGCCTGGCAGTCTTTGAACTGTACCCATACAGGTTGTGTTTTTCTGAACTATCAAGTTGTATCTCCCTTCCCAAAGATATCATCCTTTCTGATCACACAATTATACCCTCAGCAGCAATTGCCAGGCTAGTTCCAGGGATGTACAGAAAGAACCTAAAGTGTGTGCCTGTATTAAAAATGACCATTACATCTATCTTACCAAGTGTCCATGCGAAGTAGTACTTTGGTTTCGAAGCTTGCACAACAACATACAGTAAGCCAAGTCTTGACAAGAATGAGGACTTATTGATAAACTCGTTATCAACGATAGATGTTACTGGAAAGCTCTTGGTAAATGTCAGGAACAAAAGCAATGAAACAAGCGTGATGCAAAGTTTGTGTAGCACAGCTCCCTAGAAAGCATAATAAAACATCGCTGAAGGCATTTCAGAAAGAAGGAAAGCCAAAAGACAAACTGTTTTGAACCTAAAAGGTTCAAAAGACATCAGCCAGTGGAAATATTGTTCAATTACACTTGCCACTTTTGAAATGAATGCCAGAATATGGTGTGATACCACACAAATGAAAAATCTGGAACCCTGGTCCACGCAGTCTCTGCTTTCTTCGTTCCTTTATACATAGCCACACCCTGCTTCTGATCCTTGTTTGAGGAAGACTGAAGTCTTGTGTTTTGGCCAAATAGATACACTAGGATTTCCACGGGCCTACATGTTGTTATCGGTACTGGAACACTCACAGAAGGTCTCAAGGATGGGCACCTTCCACGAGCCATACTAGATACCCCTCTGGAACAACCCCAGAGCTAGCCACTGTACTAACAGAATGCTGGATTATATAGATCTTTAGTCTGATCCAGCATGAGCCTTCCAGTTTGATTAGTGTTAATAATAATATTATTACAAAAAGGAACTGAGCATTGGAAAATAAATACTTGGTGATAAAAATACTTATCTGATGAAGTGTCAGAAACATGACCACAGGATAAACTGGCGCCTTGTCAGATCTCTGTGCCAGTTTCCACAGTTGAAACTCTGCATTCATAAATATTGAACAGGATACTGGCCTCAGTATTTTGCAACTTACCATTGGGGAAGGGTCAGGAAGCCTATCAAAACCTTTTTGCTTCCAGTGGACATCTAATAGCTTCATCTGAACATGTCTTCCTTCAATGAAAGCTATGTAGTCCTTATAATTGCTGCATGGGCCTGCTATGATACTTAAGAAGTTGAGGTGATAGCTCAAATACTCCAGTAAGGTCGGTTTTGTTCTATTAAAAAAACCAAAATAAAATAAAATAAAGCAAAACACAGAGTAATATATTTCATCTAGTTATTTTCAATGTGGAAAAAAAATCTAAGTATTTCAATGACTCTATAAATATTATTAGTATATGATTTAGCTCAGTGAGGACTGAGAAATAGATCACATTTATTCCATTTACACAGTAAAATATATCTCTGGTCTGAGAACACAAACAGAAATCTTGGAGTTCCACTGACACCCTCCCTTCATAAAGGGAAAAAAAGGAAAATGCAAAGGGGTTATATGGAAGTTTAAATTTCTTCTTGTGAGCAAACCTAGACAGGAATGTCTACACAACCACCATTTATACAGACAAGGAGTGAAGAGAGAGACAGAAATATATATTTATAATGATAGTGTGTTTGGATGAGAAGATTACATAGAAATGTTTTAATAATATAAATACAGTGGACCCTCGACTTACAGACGGCTCAACTTACAGACTTTTCGAGTTACAGACTTCTCTGACTGCAAAATTTAGATTCGACTTGCAGCCAGCGGTTTTCAGTGCATTGTAGGTCAATGGAGATTCGACTTACAGACTTTTCGACTTGCAGCCACCATTCCAATACGGATTAATTCCTTAAGTAGAGGGTCCACTGTACAGTATATAGGAATTGAGATATATTCCTATATATTTATATTAGTAAAACATTTCTACTGAATCTTCTCATCCAAAGACACCAACCAACACCCAACACAGCTAACTTCAAAACAAAGAATAAAATGTTGAGAGATCCAGTAATAGATCTCAAGATCTTTATCTGGTCTGAGTTGAAGACAAAAGCAGACAGAGACAGAAGCATGGATCATTTTTGAAACATACGGTCAAAAATCTCTTGCATACCGTATTTGCCGGTGTCTTATACTGGGAGTATAAGACGGCCCCCCAACATTCCCACTCAGAATGTAGAGTTTGTTTTATACTTGCTGTATAAGACTACCCCCTCTTCCGCATGCGTGATT